ATCGAGGACTCGAAGAAGGCGCCCAACCCCGACGAAGCCCTTGCCGCCCGACGTGGACCAGTTTGCGGTACGGCTCCCCTTGCGCACCTCACCCGCGCGAGGCCGCCACGCACTGCTGACGCGCACCTCAACCCCTTCAGAAAAATCCTGGTGCAAGGCCAGAACCTTGCCGAAGCCGTGATCCAGAAGCAAAGCCCGGCGGTGCCGTGCCCCCACTGCCCGGGAGACGTGGCCAAGCCTCCCTCCGTACTGTGGCAGTCCGTCTTCCGCGCCTATCCGAGCCTGCCGCCGGCCGAGTCGTACCAAGAAGTACCTCCCCACCGCCGACTGAATATTTGCTTGGCTGAACCTTTGGCTTGGCCCAATGTTAGGTGTACTGCTCCGAGTCGTGCAGGAAAGAGGCCTGGGAGAGTCATCACCACAGCTTGTGCCCAGGCCAACTGGGAGAAAACCAGGGCAAGCACTTTGCCCTGCTCAACCTGCTCATCATGTACCGGTATGGCACAACTCATTCATGGCCTCGCCTCAAGTCAGCCATGACCGGTCTCTCTCTGACTCTCGACCGGCTGGCTGAGGGCTCAGGGAGGTGGGCTACCACACCGTCGCGATGATGCTGCGCATTCTGGCCCAGAAGGCGAAGCATCAGCAGGAAGCCAAGCCTGACGCCGTATTTCCCTTTGATTTCTTCACGACCGACTCCGAGGGTACGTCTCTTCCAGCTGTAGAGTCATAGCAAACAACACACAGCAAACGACGCACACCACAGAACAGCGCTGATGGGCCATGCGTATGTGTGTGTGGTTGGTATTCAGAGGTTCCGTTGCCGCCGCAGCGCGTTTACAACGCTGAAGCCGGCCAGTTCACTGAGCCCACCGCCGCGGACCTCGAGCACCAGCACAACATGCAGCGCCAGATCTGCGACCTCATGCAAAACCTCTTTCCCGACCGTACGGTCCTCGCCTCTTTCGTCACGCCTCTCGACCTGGTGGCTCACGTGTGCGGTTTTGGCTGGGGCGACACTCAGTGACCTGGAGCGCCTATCAGCGCCTCCAGGCTCGCATAGCTATGAACGCGCAACAGTGTGCGGTGCCCAGCGTGCCTAGGGAGATTGCTACTTTTCTCGCTCGTTGCTTCCCCACCGAGGATCTGGGTTTCGATCTCAAGACAGGCACGTCTTCTCACAGTGTCGTGTGTGTCGTGTGTGTCGTGTGTGTCGTGTGTGTCGTGTGTGTCGTGTCGTGACTGTTTCTCGGTGTGTGCGCTAAACGTTCCCGGGGACCACAGAGGGGGTGGCCATGTACGCGGTGGCGTGCTCCGTCAACCACTCTTGCGTGCCCAACGCGTACCATGCCGAGAGCGAGATCGACAACTCGATCACCCTCAGGTAAGTGGACACCCACAGCCAACTGAGTGTTCTCTGGGCAATTAAGGCCTGAATTGGGTGGACACCAGGGCGATGAAGAGGCTGAAGAAAGGCGACGAGGTTGTCATCACCTATCTGGACGAGAGCAAGGGCGCATTGACCAAGAGCGCCAGGCACGATGCCCTGTGGCGCAAGTTCCTCTTCCACTGCCGGTATCTCACCAATCGCACACACATGACATACACGACACGCACCGCACACGCACGTACACGCACCAACTCAGGCCCAATCTTGTGTGCGGTTGTGCAGGTGTGCGCGTTGTGGGGGCGAATAGGTGTTCAGAGGCCTCCCTTTCCTCACGCATTTGCCCATAAAAAAGGCGCCTCGGCGGTTTCGCATGCCATGGCGGCATGGCCATGCCCTCGCCCAGGAAGAAGCTCGGGTGCGGCATCTGGTTGTAGCCCACCCGCCACAGCGAGGCAATAGTTGTGGTCGTGCAGGAGCGTCGCCAGTCGATGCTGGGTCGGGTGGTTCGTCGTGTTGTTGCGCAGCGCCGAGCTGTCCTCGGTACGCTACACCACCTCCTCCCTCCAGTTGCCCAGCAGGTCGGCCTGCAGGCACGGCACG